TCAGCTCAGGGTGAAGATTAGAACTGATAGAAAGCATTTGGTATAACAGATTTCAGCAAAAGTTGGGTAACTGTGGCAAGCCTGGTTTGTGTGAATAGGGCTAGCACTGCTTTTCTTTTTCTTTTTTTTTTTAAGTCTCCTTAAATTGTAATGGCTCAGTTTCCTGTGGAGCCCTCACCTGGTTAGGATAGACCTTTCTTGTGTACCTAGTTAATGTGAGTAAGTGTTGTTCCTGGCCTGTTCCTGGCTTCTTTGGTTATGATCCAAGCTTAGATTCCTAACCCCCCCTTTTTTAAAAAGCTTTTCATCTTGACAGGGTCAATTTCTTTTTTCTACATGGCCATCCATATTTTATCCTTCCCTCTCCCTTAGTGAGAGAGCCTCTTGATTTTGTCTGAAGACAGAATACAGTGGCTTCTCTCATTTCTTTTGAGGATTGGACGGGTCCTACTAACATCAGTTATTTTTAGTTTGCGTGTTTTGTTATATTTTAGTTGGTTTTCAGGTTCATCCCCTCTCCCTCATCGTTTACCATCATTAAATTTTTATATGCTAGAATTTTATATCATGGGGTGTTTTGTAGGTTCCCTGTGTGTGTGTGTGTGTGTGTGTGTGTGTGTGTGTGTGTGTGTGTGTATACAGTATTGTGGTATATGTAGGATTGAATATAGTTGGACAAGTTTTTGTCGTGGATGTAATTGTAATGAATGAATGGGTTGTGAATTTGATTAGATAGGTATAAGATAACCAGCTTCAACCCATTTCCCCTCTTTTAGGCCTTGTACTACAATTGTTGTATTTTTATATGCAATAAATCTCAAATTTTTCTGTTTGGTGAGGTTCTGTCACTCTGTTGAGCAAGATCCTGTTTTAACAAGTACCTTTTAAAATATTGAAGATAAAATATTTTTGTTTAAAAACTACTGTACTAGAAATTAGTACAAAATAGGAATTATATGTTTTGCTATTTGGACCAGAATGTTCATCTTAGTCACATTTTGACTGCTGTATTTGGTAGCAGAAACAAAATACATATGGAGCTGCCAAGCACTATTGATAACAGTACCTGCCCCTGTTAGTCAAATAGACAATGATTAGTGTGCTGTCTCATCCCTTGATAATACAACATCCATAATGGCTTGCATAATAGATGATGCCACATTGTCCAAAGCCCATGTGTGTCAAGCAGAATCTTCTTCTCTCAATGATCACAGTCTGGTATGGCCACAAGGATCAGTGCACATACACTTGTAGTTAGGCCTTTCAGAGATCAAGCACAGAAATGTTGGAGCCCTTTTTTTAGCACTTTCAGTTACACAAACACATTTGTACACGTTCGTACACAAACACATTTATACACATTTGTACACAAACGTCAGCATGCATTGATGTGTTTATCCAGTTCACAAAATTCCAATATGGGGTGTGCCAGATTCTTATTTTGCTGTAAAGTTGCCATTAACAGAATTAGACCCTTTGGAGGATCAAGCTCCTCCTCAAGATAAGGAAGCAATCATCCATTATCCTGTCATGCTTGCAGCTCATGCTGGTATTCTTGCTGGATGTGAGTGAACACTGGATATTCAGGTACCCTGTTTGTCAAATTATCAGGTGGTTGATCTGACCACTTCCTAGTCCTGTCATCAAATTCAGCACTGAATTCTGGTTCTATTTTGATTGCAGATATATAGGTTCATTCTTGAGAAGCTGGCTTCACTGGACTTGTTAATGCTGACTCCAGACAGCATTTTAATGATGTCCATCTCAATGAGTAGATGGATGCCCAACAGGGCCCATGTCATCTACTACCAGCATGATGGTTCCAACACCATGGCCGCAGAGAACTTTGCCATCAGCTGTTAGTATGTTCCTCTTCTGTCAACTCCAGAGACTACACACTGATCCACTCACAAGAGATCAACAACATCCAGAATCCACCAGTGCAATGTGGTTCTCAATCTGAACCTTAATTATGGGGAGCACTTCTTTAAAACTGTTTGAGGAGAGACTGACACTGACATCTTGCCCCTTTCTGTTTCCCAGACATTTAGACTCAATGTTTTCATGGGGAAGCTGGTATACACTTTCTTCATAACCAGACATGTGCTTTACATCTGCAGAGACAATACACTAAACATTCTCTCTTTGACCAATAAGGGTAGGTATCATTATCAGTAGAGGTCGGCAGCACAGTCTACATTTTGTTTCCGCTACATATTCTTCAACCTTCTTTAGGCTTTATAGTTAACTTTCATGAAATTTTGAACTGAACTCTTCATTCAACCCATGAAAATAAATTGTTTTCATTCCAATTTCTATGCTTAGAGAATATGAAATATCAACTAATACTAACGAGTTTTATTCACTTTTGTGTTGCTTATCAAATTATTCTATTGAACCAGGGTATGTGATGTTTCAGAATGACCAGACCCAGAGATTCCAATGCTTTAATTCACTAGGCCATCGGTCTCTTAGTCAATCTAGTGTTAAAACTCTTTTGTCTTAAACCTAATGTTTGTACTCAGGTGGTGGGACCAAGTTAATGTCCTTTCTTAATCAGAAAAACAGATGATATTCATATTTGCTAGGTCTACTGAGAAAGTTGTCAGGGCCTAACATATGCACAGATTCTTTTAGTCATCTTATCTTACAATATTATCTCTATTATCTTTAGTTCATTCCATAGGAATTGATGACTACCTTTTTCTCTTCATATATGATCAGCCATGCTCAATTCCAATATCTCTCCCCAATAATAAAGTGAAGATAATAGACAGAACAACACTGAAGCATAAGACAACTTTCTAAATATAACTAGAATAGATATGAATTCCATTTTAGAGATTCTGATGAAAAATGTACACTATTAAAAATTAATGAAAACAATCTATCCTCATAAATTGTTCAGTTTAAAATCCCAAGTTTATCAAGCATGAAGACAGACACATAAAGGTTAGAAGGTACAACAGCTGTGTATAACAGCCAAAATGAACATGAGGGTCAAGTAGGGAAGAGAGAGAGAGAAAGGAATTTTCTGAATCAAATTTACAGAAATGGCAAAAATTAAATACAAGATGTTTAAGATTAGGAAATGTACCAGATGTTAAGAATTATTACTTTATAAGTACAATGCAATCACATGTCTAATGCAGTGCAGCTAAATTTTATCCCAGAATTTAGCATTATAGTTTGTGATAGCAAAAGAGAACAAAACATATCAACTGATTTATTCAATTGTAAAATTATATCCATATCTATATAAAATGCTTAAAAAACTGAAAAACAAAACCAAGGTATTGCTCCTTAAACTTGACAGTAAGGTAGTTAATATTGCATAAATGAAAAATAAAATATTACAGTGAGTGGTGGACAACTAAAGGTCCTATTCAAAAAAACTGCTTGTAATAAGCATAAAAAGTAAAAATTATGTACATCTTTTATTTTTATTCAAGACTTTATTACTATAATTTATATATCTGAAGCTTTGTAAACATCACTTACTATATATTTAGGAATGTCTGGAAATGCTGTCCAAATTTATATTACAATTTAATCACTCACTATCTTTGATCTTACATTGTTATATAAACATTTTCATTATTGCACATACAGAAATAGATGTCACACACATGCTCAAATTAAAAGATGTATCATTGTTTTCTAAACAATTAGTCTGAACTAATTCAGCAAGCAGCTGAAGAAAATTATTTATACCATATGATAGTCCCTTATATTTCATAAGCAAAAAATTATTTGAATTGTGCAAATGTTTAAAATAAATATCAACTTGAAAAATAGCCATATATTTTATTTCAGTGCATTTTAATCACAGTGATATTTTTAAAGGTTTCAGCTAGGATAATGCTTCAGAAAAATATTTATTCTAAAGATTTAAACTGATAGTTTGTAATTCATTGCTCTTGTATTAATACATCACTACTTGATGACAGCAAAAGATTCATGTGAATGATTTATGCACATGATTCACTGGCTGAGAAACCTGATTTTTTTTTATTCTATATAGCAGTGGTTTCAAAAAAAAAAAAAAAAGTTTCAGATTGATTTATTTTTTTGTTTAATGACATATCAACTACTTATGGGCTATTTAATGCCAAAATTTGATTTTCTTGAGAGCTTTGAAGTAATAAAAATGTTTGTTCATAATTGAATACATGGTAGAGGATACTCAGCTTTTGTGAATATACGTTTGTGTGGACATAATTACTAGAGGCAATGATATATGTATTTTATGTTGTATTTTTGTTGAAGTTGTAATTTGGAATACAGTTTGACTTTAAAAAAATTATAGGATATTATATGGATTAATGTTATGAAAGTTCTTTCATGTTGGTTGTTAGGTTGGCTGATCATTTGATTTTGTTTAGCAGCATATCAAAATCTATGGATTATTTAATGCTGAAATCTAAATATTTTGAATGCACTTTTACGGTTTCAATATATTTTGAATGCAATTGTATGCCATTAACTACAGTAATATTGTTAGTAATTCTACGATTCTATTTTTATACTTTCATAGGATTTTGTTTTTGTCTGGTGTGGGGGGTTCACTATTTGCCCATAGATGAAAGCCTGACAGGTGCTACCACCATGAAATATGGTGGACCTGGCAACAACAACAACAATTAAGAGGGGGTTCCATGCTTCTCAAAACCTCCAACCTCCTGATCAGAGGCCTTGTGATACCCAGTTTCAGTTTGACAAAACCAACTTTTATAAATTACTGGAATAAAATAAAAGTTTCTTTTTTTTTTTTTAAATCCAAAATGATAAAGCTTTAAAAATTATCACCCTACAAAACCTAACTGATCATTCATCTTAATTCTGTAGATTAAATCCATCTACAAGGATTAACAATATTCAAATTGAGCAATTCCAAAAATATAATATTATATTATTTAAAAAGACATAGGGCTATCAGAAACAATATATAAGAAATACATAAAATAATGAAAATATCAACAGTTTGATATGTAGCTTACTTTCTGTTGAGTCGACCCTTGTTTAGGAGGCATACTAGCAACACAGGGACTTTTATGATCAGAAGTGCTCATGCAATAAGTGGATTATTAAAATGGTAGAAAGAATTGTGCCATTGTCCTGGGAAAACATTTTCTTGTGAGCAAAGCATGATGGAAGATGATGAATGCAGTCTGAAATGAATGAGAAATGGTAAAAATAAAAATATTTCAAAAATAAAACAATTCAAAATTAAAACAACTCTTTAAAAAGATGTGTAAAATGTCGATATCTTTCATATGAAATCAAATGAAAATATTTGAAAGTCATTTCCAATTTGAACAAAGAGAAAACAAAATTATCTAGTACTATTGCAGTTTAGAAGTTGCAAAAAAAAAACACTACATGAGCTAAATGAACAATTTTCAAGATATTAAAAACAAACATTGAAATGTTTGCCAAGTACAATAAATCCATGTTTAATAAATAGCTAATTTAATCTAAAATATTCTAATATATTAGTGTAGGAAATTATTTTCCTAGTTTTTGTTTTGTTTTTACAAGAATCTACATATACATTAGTTTGTCAAAGTATAGAACAAAACAATACATATCTTAAGGCTGCCATTGTGTATACAATTAATATTTTACAGGTTGGATATCATTTAATATCAAGAGTAGTGCACATTTGGTTCTAATAAGAAGATTGCGTTAAAGAGAAATCTCAGTACAGAATTTGACATTTTCACTCCAATATAATAATCAAAGAAGTCAAATGAAAAGTGAAGTCTTTCAATGTGACTAGCAATCCTGATCTGGAATAGGTCCTTTTTTGTTTTAGAAGTAATAGAGTAAATATTTTCACTTACAAATATTTTTATATATATATCTGCAAATATCTGACTTCAATATTAAAATAATTAAAATATAAAATAATTTCAAATTTATACATGGTAACTGTCTTTTTCAGACAGTGTTGATCCTGCTATTTTTTACCTTTATTGTAGAGTCTATTATTACAAAACATATCAAGTAATTATGTTGAAACCACACAATCAGCTCAGTTAAATGGAAACTATTTATCAGCTATTTTTAATGTTTTTCTCTGTGTAGTTTATAAGTATGCCTTTTTGCATAAAATGAAACCTGCACATAAATAAAGCCTTAATGGTGCTTTATTATTCCATTTAATGGTCTTGGCATAAAGCCAACACTCATGACTAATAAGCTTATTTTAAGTTAATAATAGTAAGCCATAAAGCAAAAGTTACTTCATTAAAAATTGAAAGCCAGTCATGCACATAAAACAATGTATATTATTGATAGATTTATGTTGGTCACTCACCATGGCTATCCAACTGTCAATCTGTTTTTACAAGTGAGAAACTGAGAAAAAAAGTTATATAATACAATACTTCTTTGTTGCCTTTAAATTACTTGTAATAGGATCATAATATCCTTAATAACAAAAAGGCACCTGACTTAGCTAATGTTAAAAAATAAACTAATACAACTGACAGTGTATAAAGAAATCATACAGAAAGTTCTTACTTGAAAATATGCAAAAGAGAAAGCAAAAGAAATGCATTGTTAAACAAAATTTGTTAACATTATGTATACACTTTTTCTAGAAAGATATTTGCAGCTAGTTTGAAGAAATCTATAATGCATTCAGATAAGAAAAGCAAATTCTATAAACAAGGAAGCTACATTTTTCTAGTCACATGCAAATTGGTTAAAACAAGTCAGCATATAAATATCAAGTCATTGTTACTGTTAGGTACCCAAATAAAATTTCAACAGAATTTTGTTACTTTACAATTTTAGTAAAAACATTTCAAAGAGTCAAAATTACTATGACCTAAATAGACATAGCAAAAATTCTATGGTGGAAAAATTAGTATAAAACTTACATCAACTTATGCTTATACACACATACTACAGGCAAAAACTGAGGCCACCATGCATTTCTTTAAAAAATACCTTAGAATGAGATATTTTTGTATTTTTTTAAAGTAAAAGATAAAATTTCAGTTGTTACAGTGTGTCTGCTTTTATTTTGACAAAAAATAAGCCCTTAAAAAAATATCATACAAGAGCTTCATATTTTGTTTCCATCAATAAAACCATCACATGCTTTAATTACTGCTTTACATATTCTGAGCATTCTTTCCGTTTTTGAAAAAAGTGGCAGACCTTCCTAAACATTCTTCAAGAACTGAAAAAGCTCATTCTCACTCCTTGGGTATTCTCTTCAAACTCTCCTATCCAATTCATCACATACTAATTCAAAAATTAGAGAGGTAGTGAGGCAGCTAAGTCACAATTTCCATTTTTTTTCTACTTTTAATTACTTGAGGTAATTTTGACAATTTAAAAAGAGTGTTCTTGTTGAAAGGTGAATTTTTTTCCAATTGTGTCTAAATCAGATGGTATAGCATGTCTTGCAAAATCAAATGACATTGTTCTTTTTTCATTATTCCCTTGACCTGTATCAAATCTCCAGCTCTCTTTTCCCCCAAACACCACCACCACACCATAACAGACCCACCACCATGCTTAACTGTTGGGACCAAACGTTCATTCTTCTCATATACACTCTCCTCTTACTACCAGATAGTTAAGATTTGAACTCAGCTGTCCATGATACATTTTGTGACTCTTTCAATGTTCAGTTCTGATGCTTTTTTTTCCCTATAACAGTCTTTTCTGCTTATTCAGCTTCCATAACAAGGGTTTGTTGATGGCTATGCAACCCCTGAGCCCTGCTGATCTAAGTTGATTTTTCTCAGTTGAAAGTCACACTGGTTGCTCTCACACAATCAGTATTTTTTCCTATTTCTTTTGCTCTCAATAATCAAGTATTTATCTTCAGCAGCAGTTGTCACTTTTGGTGTTCCAGTTCTATCAACATTTGTGCCAGTTTCTAACTGCCTTTATAATGAATATTACATCCCATGTCTAGAAATCTTAAACTTCTTGGTAATTTGTCTTCGAGAGTAGCCTTCTTTGATTAAAATTTCAATTTGTGCACTCATCTCAAAGCTTAGCTGCTATGATTTTGCCATTTTGTGCAAATTTCAAGATTAAATAAATAAAAAAAAATATGACAATAATGTCATAATTGTACACTCTTCTTTTCTTTATATAGAGACAGTCCCATATGTTCTGTTTACAACATTAGTCAGTGCTGAGTTAACATTTAGAACCTGTATTAACATTTAACTTAGTTGAAAATTTTGGCAATCTCAAAAAGTTTGAGGGGTTAATGGTGAAAATAAAATATGTTTCTCATACAAAATATTTATAATTTAGCAAAATGTATTGTGAACAGATGAATCCAAATTTGAACATTTTGGTAGTAAGAGAGCCTGGAGAAAAACTGAAAAATAAAAGCAAATACACTGTAGTTACTGAAAGTTTATTTTTTATTTTTAAAAAAAATCTACAAAAATATCTCGTAAATTGCTTTTTTAAAGAAATGCAGAGTGGCTGCAAACTTTATGTGTGCATGTATGTATAAAATGCAAACCGAGTAATAGAAAGTTATACTCGCTGATCTGATAAGGTACAAAGACATTTGAAATACTAGAAAAACTCGAGTAACCCATAACATCTGGGAACAGATTGCATAGAACAAATTCAGTGAATACACAAATAGAGAAAAGTGGAGTAAGACAAGGATTCATTTTCTCACAAGATTTATTCAACTTATAAGGGAGATGATCCTAAGAGAACTAGAACCCCTATTTGAATTTATTATCAGTGGACATAATCTTGACAACATGTTGATGGAAGATGGAGAAAGGAACCTGAAAAAAGTCTTTGACAAGGTAGTAATGGAAAGCAAGAAGATTAACATAACTCTAAGACAGAATGCATGGTTGGCAGCAAAAAAAGACAGCCTAAGGTGTGAACTATATATTGGGGATGTCAAAATCAAGCAGTAAGTAATTCAATTATTTGAGTAGTGCAGTGACAGATGATAGAAAATAAGATACAGAAATCCAAAGACATAAGAATAGCGAAAGTTATCTTCCAGAAATTAAGACGGGAAAACAGTTTTTAAAAAAGTACTGAACTGTTATGTAATATCTAAATCTTCTAAATGTAGTGAAAGCTGGAAAATTTCCTCAGATAAAGAAGGGACTTTAAATGACAAAATATGGCTCTACTGACAAAATGGTAAAAATATCATTGGATGGAACATGTAAACAACAATAGAAACAAGGACATTTATACTTACAATCAAAAAAAGACATCTGGAATTTCTGGGACACATAATGAGGAAAGAGACACTGGAGAATTTAACACTCACAGGACATACTGAAGGCAAGAGACGCAAGGACAAAACAATATATAATCTACATAATGAGTTTGTGTGAATCACTATAGAACCAGGACAAAGAGGGCTGGAAAAGGGTAAAAGATTGACATTATTCACTATCTTGCTACAAAAACAAGATAGATAACTGCAGTATCACTTGACAAGGTCTTATATACCAAGAGCACAAAGTCAGATTTCACAAAGAAGGCATATTGTTGATCAATCAGAAGGTGGAAGGAATCAAAATTGGGAATTTTGATTGCATGGTTGTACAAGTCACTAACAAAAAGTTAATCTGGGAAAAGTACCTTTGTTCAGTAAAACTTAAAACTGGGAAAAGCGCCATTGCAAGACAGTAGCTATAGCAAATCAATATTAGAATGGCAAGATATTGTTACATAGGTTATTTATGGAAGAGCTACCAAAAGAAAGCCAATTTTTAAATCTTTAAGTAGGTAACTGAGATAGTATACCAAAACTCCAAGGGTCTCTACATATTCTCTTACAGATAAGTCCTCATTTTTTTTAATTTCCCAAAAGTGGATGAATATCAATCTGGAGATTTTTTTTTAAACAAGAATTTTGTTATTAACCACTTTATAGCTCACAATCAAATATAGTAGACATTTTGTTATGGTGTGAGAAACAATTTGCAATAGAGGAAGGAGCCCCATGACATACAGTAAAAAATATATAAAAATAAATAAAAAGAAGAAATAAAATAAAAAC